CAGGCCCCTGGGGGACCCAGCCCCCCTCGGAGTGCCCTCGGGCCCGGGGTGCAAGGCCCTGGCGGCCAGGCCAGCAGGTCAGCTGCTTGGCCGGAGGCGACCTGGGGCTATCCCGACAGCAGCCACACTCTGCTTGGCACCAAGCACTGCCCCGAGGCCGCAGCTCTGAAACGTCTGCACCAAGAGCAGGAAACCCACCCGCTCAGGCGCCTGCGTTAGAGCCTCAAGGCAGCAGCACAGCCGGGCCCACTCGTGTTCCAGAGAGAGGAACCCACGGAAGCTCTTGGAGGAAAAGAGGGTGAGTTGGGGAGCGATGGGGCGAGGGGACCGAGGGTGGCCAGCAGGGCTCTGCCCTCACTCTCTAAGAGGCGGGTCCCTGAGACCGAACACAGAAGAAACAACAGACGACCACCGTCCCTGAAACCCCACCCACAACACCACGTGGAGAGAAGCAGCCGCAGGAAGTCAGAGCGAAGCTCCTCACACAGACGCTCACAGACCAGCACGGCAAGCGAACACCGCTCTCCGCCAGGGAGCTGGGCCACCCGCACGCCAGAGCCAACGGGCCCGGTCGGCGCTGCTCAGGGCATGGCCATGTGACTGCGTCTCGGACACATGTCCTTTGACTCGGCAATTCCACTTCTGAACATTTTACAGAACTAAACGCAAAAATCCACACGCAATGGTAGTCCCTGAAGCCGAGCGTAACAACCGAGAACACACGACATAAATGTCTAAAACCAGGAAACCGGTTCACAAGCCGCCCACAGGGTGGAATACTACGCAGCCATGAAAAAGACAGCTCTACGCCCGTCATCCAAACCACCACCAGGACTGCTGAGAAGCAAGCAGCGCCAGCAGGCTGCACAGTGCAATCCTTCCTGTTAGGTGACGAAGACACACATTTAAAAATAACTCCTGTTGCTTTCAGGATTGAGCGATCATTTTATGAAGATGTTTTATCCTATGAATTCTGAATCCCACACGTAAGGACTTTGTGTAACGGCATGGAGGCGCGCTGACCCAGAGTAACTGAAACACATTCTCAAAATTCAAAGTAAACTGAGATGAGAACGCTCACGCGTTTCCAGGTACATTAACGTCTACAGTAATCTAGCACGTCTTCAAAAATCCAAGGTTCAATGAAAGTCATCTGGCTTACTGCCCAGGGAGAGTTGAGGAGAGTTTAGGAATACCACAGAGATCCAGGCAACAAGTAACAGACGCACCAATCATTCTGAAGGAGAGGAAAAGAGAGGACTGTGAAATGTGTGTCTCAAAACATCTTTAGAGCGTGAAGACACTCCAGACACCGCCCAGTCTCACCAGGAGACGTCAGTATATTCCTGGTGACCAATTACTAAGTTTCTAAAGAAACTGCAGCGCACAACATGGCCAACAGACAAAGCCACACACGTTCCCACGTACACAGCCCGCAGGCGTTCCTCACAGCAGCGCCCGACGGTGGGGATTCTAAGGGAAGGCGCCCCTCGTGTCCCCGAGGCCGCAGGAGCCGCTCCCCCGGGTCAGCCAGGCGTTTGCTCCTCTCGGCACCAGGTGCTGCCGGCTTCCCAGCTCAGCTCCCCGGCGGGAGAAACGGGACAACCCTGGAACGGGCCTCGGTCGCCATGCACATGGGATCTCATTCATTTTACCAACAAGGACCCGACTGCCCAAGAGGCAGGGCCAGCAGTGCTGCGATGTGTCCACGCATAGCCCTGAGGCTGTGCAGGTGTGTGAACTCCGGGCCGACGCCAGGTGGCCCCCATCTGCAGGGAGCACGTCCTCTCTCCTGGCTCTCAGGGCCTCGCCCACGGCCAGCCCTTCTCACGGCTGCTGCCTCTCAGGGACTGCACGCAAGGCTGCAAGAACACTCCCCGAAGGAGGTGTCCGCGAGGCCGAGCCGCCCCGGGAGCCCAGGTCCAAGTGTAAATCAGAGAACTTCAAAGCCGGTCCGGTTACAGCCTCTGGCGGCCAGGGCTCCCCTCTCGGCGCTGAGCTCGGTAAGGGCTGCGGGCTCAGCGACCAGCACCTGGGCCCTCGGCTCCTCCAGGCTCCTGGAACCTCATGCAGTGCTTGCCCAGCAAATCCTTGCTTTTAAAAAAACACACATTTTTACTGATTTCAGAGAGGAAGGGAGAGAGAGAGAGAAGCATCAATGATGAGAGAGAATCATGGATCGGCTGCCTCCTGCACGCCCCACACTGGGGATCGAGCCCACAGTCTGGGCATGTGCTCTGACCGGGAACTGAACCCTGACCTCCTGGTTCATAGGTAGACACTCAACCCCTGAGCCACACCAGCCAAGCGAAATCCTTGCGTTAATGCCAACTCGAACTTCTACTTGTCCCAAGTGGAATGACTGTCAGTAACAAATTAACATATTTGGGGTGAAGTACAGCGATTAGGACAAGATCCGAAATGTGGTCCATTCTGAGGACTTGACGGAAGGAATCGTCACACTAACGCTAACACCTGGTGCCCGTACGTGTGTATGGACACACGGACACACGCACACACGCACACACGGGGACACACGCACGCACACGAACGTACGCACACATGCTCAGCTCCCATGGGAGTGCAGAATTACACGCAGAGCAGTCCTCTCCGCCCTGCAGGTGACCCTGCAGCGCACTGTTCCCTCCACGCCCGGCCCGGCCGCCCTCGAAGGAGGCACCGAGGGCGAGAGGCACCGGCGTGTCTAACAGCCAGGCCCTCCCGGGCGTCCACCCGCAGGAACCTGGGAGTGCCGACTGCTAGGCTTTCCCGGGAACCTCAGCTTGGCCCCCGCTGCGCGGACGGAAGGGGAAGAACAGATGGCCCACCACGTGCACGTGCCAGGCTGCCAGCACCTCGTCCACTGAGTCAACAGGTATCTGCTGAGTGCTGCTCGGTGCCAGGGCTCCTGCCAGACGCTGGGTCCCACCCACCCACCCACGGGCGCTGCCCCTCGGGTCTGTGCCTGGGAAGGGCGTGAGATAGCCTGTAAGGTCACACCAGTGAGCTAAGATGGAACGATGAGAGCGGACTGGGGAGTGTTCCCGGCAGCGGGTGTGGGCGTGCAAAGGCCCGGTGGCAGGCGGTGCTGCTGTCTGAGGCCCTGAGAGAAAACCATCCTGTGGGAGCAGGGGCCAGGCCGCGGGGACTCCCCAGGCACGTCACAGATTCTCTGGGCTTTTCCAAATGGAAACACTGGGAGGTTTTTAAGTTAATTTACTCCATTTACTAATTTTTAAAAACAAGCTTCTTTTCCCAGAGGAAAAATACGATAACCAGGTTTATTTTAAATGATCCCTTTGGCTACAAACATGGAGAGCAGACCGGAAGGGCAGCGAGCGGGTCGCAGACCACACGCCCGCGAGGCCCGAAGCCTCCACGAGGGCCGTGCCAATCACGGGCCAAAGGCATCGCCGAGGCTGGCGGGGGCAGAGGAGCCGACGAGCCTGGGACCCCATCTGCTCACGTGTCGTCCAAGGGGACGACGGGCACGAGGCAGGACGGTCAGGCTCACACCCGGGAGGCCCACCTTCAGCCCAAACGCCAGGCACTTTCCGACGGCAGAGCCTCCATTCCCAGCACCTGACCCTCCAGCGCGGCTCCAACTGCACTCAGGTGCTGAGCTGGCGACTTTCACTTCATAAAACCAGTCACTGTCACCGCCTCCTACTCGCCAGACAGCAGGTGCTCACACCCAGCGAGCGCCCAGCCTCCTGGGAACAGGCCTGGCCGGCGCCGGAGCAGACACGGACCACACCAGTGGCTACTGCCGCCTTCGGACCCACCGGTTTCAACACGGCACCTGGAGAAAACGAGTCCCTCCTAACCCACGGCACCTGGTACCGTTCCCGGGGCCAGACTCCAGCCGGGGTCAGTGAGGGCAGCGAGGACGCCGGACCCGCCGGCAGGGGGCTCAGTGGTGCAGCAGTGAAAGGACCACATCTGTGGTCAGGAGTGAAGCCTCCGCCACCTCCAGGACCCCCCCCCCCCCCCCGGCGCCGTGCCAGGGCGGGGCTCCTCCAGCCTCCAGAGGCCTGGGGTCCATGAGGAAGGCCCAGGCGGCAGTCCTTTCAGGAAAAGGCGCTCGCTGGGCCTCGAGCACCCACAGCTCCTGACCCACCTCAACCTACGAAACCGCCCGCGCGGCGGGGGCTCAGGCTCCTCCACTCCCAGCAGCCGGAGCCCCGACAGCCGGCCAGGAGCAGCCCTGGTGCTCACGTTACGTTTCCTCGTCTTGTTCTCAGCCAGCAGAGCTGGTTTCTCCTAAGAAAGACAGATTTAGAACCGGCGACGGCAGGCGCTGAGCTTCTCGCCCCCCACGCCCACTTGTACTCTCTCTTCCGTGAGCTTCCTGTGGGGCTAAGAGCACAGGCAGAAGTGGTGGGAAATCACCTGGTACCGAGACTGCATCTTCCATCCAGTGGCAACGAAGCCCTGACCCGCGCCCGTCCCAGGAACAAGGAGGCCAGAGGCAGAGAGGAACGCTGCCCCTCCACCACTAACCTGGGGGTCCCCGACTCCCCAGAAGTCAGAGGGGCACAGTGTGGGCCGTGCGCTGAGTCCGAGCACACGTGTCTGATCTGGGGGCCCCCTGTGTCACCGCAGTGGACGTGGGGTTGTATGTAACACGTGTTCGTCCAGTGACCTACCAACAGGACGGGTCCATGGGGTGCCTTTTCCTCCTCAGGCAGACCGAGGTCAACGCTGGGCGGACGGTCTGAAGCCGACCCGGGGGCAGGCAGCCCAGGGAGCGTTCTCTCCGTGAGGGACGTCAATGTCTCCCATAACATGAATCAGCAGGAGCGAGACATCGACCAGGCGCTCCACCCACTCCGCCTCCCCGGCCGCCAGGGGGGGCG